ACTGTTTTCTACGTGATTTAGTATTCAGATCATTTGAGTATTCAGATCTATATAAATACAATAATATTTACAGGACATTGGTAAAACACCATCAAATAAACAACATAATTTCTAAATAAACTTTAAGGTTCTATTACACAAATGCAAAATCTATTCCAAAAATGAAAGCTTTGAATCAGATTAAGCTATTTGAGGAATGTTTGTTAATATTCTAATAATACAATGCGGAGTGTAATAACGAAGGAATTTTTAGCCATTGATTGTGATTGTGGAACACGAAGGGGTGTTAACCCTACAGTATTGATACTACTTTTAGTTTAAAGTTAGTTTTTGGTTTGTTCTCAAGTATAGTTTCGTATATTTGGTAAGAGGTTCTTATAAGATTTTCCTGAAAAGTCCTTCTATTGTTTTGCTTTCGTTATGTATACGTGAATTCAACGGCATTTTCATTCATGTAAATATTGATGTGTTAAAGGCATAACCCAAGTTTTAAAAAAAAATTATTAAAGAATAATAGAGCAAACCGTACTCTCTGGAGGCAGATGTAGTAATTCAAATTAGCTTCAAGTTAACTTCTCATTAAGTGTTTATTTTGTGCTTTAAAATCAGTGGCGGCTGTTGGCCCCTTTCTCACAGGTGTGACACACAGATACATCTTCGTCATATTAACTTCTGTAGTTATGTATAACCCAGTCCTAAAATGTCACACATTTACTTTTGTTCAATTAAAGTTGTCAAAAACCTATTACCCAAAATCAAATACTACTTGAGAACAAAAAAAAAAAAAGAATTTAAAATTCGTTTCAATCCAAAACATCAATACCACATCGTGTTCCACAATCAATGACTCAAATACCAATTCGTTATAACACTTCACAGTTTGCTATTAAAATGTTAAAAACAATCCATGATGCGGGTAAGTTTTGACTCAAAACTTCCACAGATCCTCAACAATGGATTTATACCCATTCATTCCTCTCAAGGGTGACTTCGAAACTGATGGCAGTCATTCTTTTAAAGGTTCAACATCATACTTATTATAAGGGATTTTAACTTCTAAAGGGGTCAAGATAAGTGGATAATACTAAACCAAAAATACAGGTTTGATTGAACTTAAAGTAACGACAACAAATTAACACTAGGATAGTAAGTATTTTACTACTTACTCAAAGATCATATTTTACCAACTTCTGCAACTTGTGTAATTGTGGCTTTCAATCGTTTTGTTATATTTGTTTTATATTTCCTGCCCGTGTCCTACTAATTGAACTTAACAGATAGTTACATATATAAAAAAAGCAAATAGGCATACCTAACAGGAGAGATAAGGTATTTACAATATTATGTTTAAATAGAATACACGTATTGACTTACCAGTTAGAAACATGGCGTTGCATGATGTTATATAATTTATCTGAATGAATGACGCATTACTGTTTTTATCAGTGTTAGCGTAATTATACTTTCCACTCTGCTACGTTATAAAATACACACATAATTTTAAATTAAACAACGTGTGTTTATTTCACTGTATCAGCTTACACGTGTAGCGTACATATTTATTGTAGCACTTCGCAAGTTCTTCGTGACTCGGCGCCAAAAATAGTAGACTAATGGCTGGAAAACAATGATTTAGAAGCTAAGGTCAGTCAATATATATATATATACTTGATAAAAACACTGCATGTGCCTCGATTTTCAATTCCAAACTAATTCACTACATTGTGAAGTGTATCAGGGATGATCCATGGGTTAAGTACGTATCTCCAAAATAAACATCACACAAGTAAGCACACAAACAAACATTGCGCACTCAACGTCTACACCATTTGAAATAACATCGGTGTATGTGAAAATGATTTTTTTTGGGGGCTGTGATAGGAATCTTTATAAAGTTAACGTAGTTGTAGACTGTGGCAAGTCTATCTTTCGACGAAAATGTATAATACATAGAAAAACGTGAGTTATTTATGGCGTTTTCGAAAAAGTTGTTTATTTTATAGCAAAAACCATATCGGAATATCTGCTGTGGCCACCGCGGGAATCGAACCCCGGATTAAAGTGTTGTAAGTCTGTAGCCTTACCGCTGTCCCACCGTAAATGTCTTGAATGGATTTGTAATAAATGCGAAAATCTAACGCTAGGAATTAATTGTATTGTTACAATAGTAGTGTCTAACACAAGAAAAATAATTTTCAGTAGTATGTAGTTTAGTCTAAGATACTTTGGTTCAATTTTGTTAAGTATTTTATCTTCTAGCAATTTGCGTCTCAGTTAAAGAATTAGTGGTTTTCCTTGATAAAACTTAATACAATCCTATTACCTGTTTTTATATACAAGAAATTATAAATTTTCTTAGCCACGATTTTAACTTTGATCTAAAAAAAAGTTTTTATTAAATGCACATCTTTAACATCTCCCAGTTCGTGAACATGATAATATAATTTTCATAACTAACTCACTCAAAATCGGAGTCCATCTTAAAAAGGATGCTAGCACGTGTCCTCGAAGAATGCGTTCAAAAACGTAGAAATAATCACTCATTAAGTTTTCAGGATTAATATCTTTTAGTAGAACTGTTCAAAGGAACAACTTTCAATGCCCTGAATATCCTCATAGACAGCGATATTTATAGAAAAGGGATCCAAAATGTGATCTCGTCCTATACTTGGTTCATTAATATACACAATCTAACTATTATGAACCATTCTTGTGATTCTATTGGATTTTTTTTTTTTTCAGTTTTAACTTCTACATCATTTCAACGCATGATGAAATTATAACAATTATTTTTACGAAAAAGTTCCACGTAACATTCACACTTATAAACGTTAAAATAAATCTATATAGCATAAAAAATCTGTTTGAAATTCAACTTTTTTTCCAGGTTGAGTTCTTTAACATAAAGTTCTATAGTTTTATCTCGTCAAAACACGAACAAATCAGACTTCTAACTATGATGATGTGAATGTGTGAAATATAAATAGTTGTCATTAAAAATGACAATTTCAAGTGAATTAAAAAAAAACTAATTCTCAACAATAGTTTCCCTTATATTCAAATAACTTCTATCAAGTTTGTAGAAGACATCTTAATACTGCGTATAAAACGTTAGAAACGTTCGCCAATTCTAATAATAAAGATGGAAAGAGTGCATAAGTATACAGACCATCTTACACAAACTTACTCCTCTCACACACACACACACAAACAAACACACTCTTAAACAGGTAAGAGGCCAACATTTTAGGATTTGATGTTAATAGAAGATTATGGCTAATTAAATTATGCTAATCTTTTAGCACTGGTTTCATGTATAAATTATGTTACTGTATTATGCGAGCGCCCAAAAACTTTTTCTAAATAGTGAGTTTTACAATAGTCATTAATAGCCTGGCGGAGACTCGAGAAAATACTATAGATGATTTACGAAAATTACGCCACATGACATCAACTTTACCATAAATAAGCGATTAAGAAGTACACCAAATACATGTATATATATATATATATACAT